GCGGTTTGGCACTGATGAGCCACATAATTATCCGCTAGTTCTTTAATATTTCCTCTCCTTAATATTAAGGCTGTTATTTGTTTTACCTCATTAATCATGTTAGACTTGCATTTGTTCATTTGTATAAGATTGTTCAGTACTTGAATGTCAAGGTGGATAACCCTTCAGAAACAGTAACATAAGTAATGGTACCCTGAGAGTTTGGGAAGAGAGAGGGGGCAGGGGAAGCTTGGGAATGGGGAGCTGATAGCATTGATGATTGTATAACTCCAGTCGATGGGATTGAACAACAGAATTGTATGTGAATGAATATATTGGATTGTGTAAATATGTCAATAAAACTATTATAAAAAACTATATTATTGTCTTCCAGTCTATTTGTTATTTGTGTTTCCATAAATATAAATTTTTTTGCCTTTGTTTTATTCACTTGAATAGGCTACCATTTCCAGATTGTTTATGTGCCTTTAATTTTTGACTGAGAATAAGACATTTGAATTTTGAAAAGTATTAGTTTTCTCAGTTCCCCTAAATATATGGTACTCTCGTGAGCAACAGATTTCTGCAAAAACTTTTAGGAGCGCTACCCCAACTTATTTTGTTACTCAAATAAAGCAATGCCAATTCACAACCTCTAAGTTAGGGAGAAAAAGAGAAATTTTATTAGAAGGCAACACCATCAGGGAATTTAACAGCAACATAGGCTGTCTTGTTGGCATCCCATCTGAAATCAGAATACGTTGATACTGTAAATGTTTTACTTTGGGATTCATGCCCTATGGAAATTACATACTTTCCTAAATGTTGTATAGTTAACTCAGGCTTAGGGATAATGATGGAATGCAATTATTGACCATTAGCAAGCAGATAGATAATAAGGTTTCTTAAGTCTTAGGACTTAAGAGTGTCTCTGTTGATTAATCAGATAGCAGGAATTAGCTTTTTTTGGCCAATAAGAGAGTCATTTATGATACTGAAGCAATCCTCTTCACTGTCTTAATGATCTCAGAGTTATTTGGACAGCCCTTTCAGGAGACATCTGCATCCAACCTGTGTGCCTCTGAGCAAAACAGAAAGTCATAAAAATTCCAAAGAAAACATGCCGTAAGTTAGGCTGATTATAGTAAGGCTAAGCTTGTGTGAGTTAGACTAACTATAGTGAGTAAGTTAGGCTACAGGAGGTACATTCTTTAGACTTGGATTAATACTCCCTCTTTACCCCGGTGCCATATCCAGCTCAGGCCTGACCAGTGCTTTAGTTTTATATCCATTTTCAGAGATGCAGACACATACCTCAGGGTGGGCAGAACCCTTGGTTGTTGGCCACTGCTTCCTATCTTGCTGTGTAAGGGCTCCAACTCTTGACAAAGTGCAGTTTGGGGCTCTCAGGTCACCTCAAGACTGATCAGAATATATTTCTGATATATATATATAGTTCAAGAAGATCTGCCCTATTTATGTTGAAGCCAGAGACTGGTGTTCTTCATAGGGCCCTAAGACAGTTGTGGGTTTGTAAGCACTGTGGGCTCAGCGGTATTGTGGTTTCAGCCACAGGTTTATGCTCTGGGTTCTGCCACCCAGGAGATTTGTGCTGTTAGTTTCAGAGCCAGAGATTTGGACCCTTCCCAGTGCTTAAGGGAGCGGTGCATTGGTTCGGGTCACTAGAGCTACATAACTGCTGTGCTGTTTGGGAGGGGGGAAGACAGGTCGGAGAAGCATTATTTTATAAGCTATGTGGTTTGTCTTTGTTCTTATTCCATTTGCAGCTCTTGGCTGTGGTTCTTTGCCCTCTAGTTGGAAGTTCTTCAGTGATGAATACATTTAGTTATAGTTGCATTTTGGAGTTTTCTCGTTAGGAGTGTCCGGATTTTCAATTTGCCCATATTACCACATTTCCAGGATGTTCTAATTCTTTTATAACAGCATCCCCCCCACCCTCCCCAATTAGACATTTGGAGAGTGCCTGCAGGTTCGTAGAGATCAGCCACGTTGGCACTCTACTTTTCAGAAATCTGCCATGAACAACCATAGGAGTACAGTTCTACTCTGATGCATAAAAGGGTCATCATGCACTGAAATAAACTCCACAGCAGCTGTAATACGGGCAGCACGGGTCACATATTTGTGTAAAGCTATTCCGGAATCATCTGGAATGCTTCTGAAAACACAGATTCTTGAAAGAAACTCTAAAATGGAATGCACAGCAGAATTAAATAATATGAATTATATTAAAATAATGACATCATCACACTTAAAGATGGTATTTGAACTGTAAATCTTAGGCTACAAACAAAATGAGCTCTAAACAAATATGTATTTAAATACTTTTGTGAGGATATATCTGATGTATCACATAATTCAGGTATTTCTAAAGCTCAATTTAAGAACTTTAAGATATTTTAAAAACTTTATCAATTAGTAGATCCTTCATTAAAACTTTCCCCTCTTAGTAAGATCCTGTGTGCCCAATTATGATTACTCCCTGCCACCCCCCAGTCTCAGGTTAACGACTTGTCTGCTTTCTGCCTCAATTACTGTGCCTCTTCATATAAAGGAAATTTTACAATACCTTATATAGGGTTTCTGAGACAGTAAATCTTTGCAGGATAGCTTCATCTCTCTCTCTCTCAGAGCCATTGATACGTTTGACCTTCAAACCTAGTAGTTAGCAGTCCAATGGCTGTCTCATAGCACTGCCAGGGCTCCTTCTATGTGCGCTAGGACTAAGACATTAGTCACTGTACTGTGAGTAGTGGCAGTGAGGTTTACCACTGTCAGAAACGGGAGTGCTGAGGAGTTAGTTTTGACTCGTGGTTACCATGTGTACAACAGAAAGAAACACTGCCCAGTCTTTTAAATTGATAATTAATATTTGAATCCATGTGCCAACCATTTTGTTTAGGGTCTTTTTGTTGTTGCCCCTCTCCTGAGATAGATATAGAAATAGATATTGTTATACATGCTCACTTTTCTTTTTTTTTCATGCACACTTTCATACATACCAAACACCATGTAAACATTTCATCATATTATCAAAGACAAATAAGACTTTCTGGTTCATGTGAAATAATGACTATTAAAAACATCATCGCGCAGATAAAGTTTAATGGTTAATAGTAAGGGCTCTGAAACCAGACAACTTAGCTTAAAATTTAGGCTTCTATGAACTATGTTTTCTTGTTTGTAATACAGAGAGAATAATACTATATATCAAATATGTGTTATGAAGTGTGAGTGAATCAATGTTATGAATAGTACATGATGCCAACTAATGTGGTGAGGGTTGACTGGATCAAAGGTTCAGTTTCCTCATTTGTAAAATGATGTTGGAATTTGTGTCTAAATTTCTCCCAGCTGTAAAGTTCATCAGATAGTTACTCAACACATGTTGTATGCAAGTCCTTCTATTTACTCAAGATAAAAGTAGAATGAGGCAGAGTTGAACTCTTTAGGAATGTCTAGTGTTATTGGATAGAGACATCTATATTACTATAGTCCTGGGCCACCATTCATTGGGCACCCTCAAAGCAAGCGTTCTAAACCAAGGTCCAGCAACAACCAATTCCATAACCTTGGACTAGTGGTCATCTACTGCTTTTCACAGTGGGACTTAAACCACAGTTTTGAATTGAAATATTACCAGATGGAGATTGTAGTGCCAATAGTATGAAATACCAATGCATACAGAATTAATTCATTTAAATTGTATTTCTTAGCAAACTGAAATATATATAATATTACCTTTTTTTTCTTTGAGTAACTACCTTCATGGATCTGATATAGGCAGCATTGTGGTTGGATGCATGATGATAAAAAATGATAGAGTGTGACTGTGGTTTGCCTATTCGTTTTCCTCGTAACAAACTACGAGATATCATTTTTGAAAATCTATTATGTATCTATATACCTATCATACTATTTATGTGAGTTATATATATATCTTTTCTCCCCACTCTTATGAGTATATGTGTGTGTCTCTGTGTGTGTCTTGTAAAAATTAACTTATTTTCTACCCCTCTCTTTACTTCTGCCCTTGCCCCACCCTCCCTTTAACCATCAAAGTTTATTTCTTCTGGTGTGAAAATCATTTTTCTTGATTTTTTTTTCTCACACAGCATTTGCTAACTTTGCAAAGTTGGGACTAACTTTGCTGAGCATAGTGTCTTCCAAATTCATCCTTATCTTAAAGTTGTTGACAGTTTAATCATTGTTCTTGAGGGATTAATAATATTTCCTTGTATCTATGTCCCTCACTGAAAAACTCACTACCATTGAATCGATCCTGATGCCTTAGAACAGAGTGGAACTGGCCCTGTTGGTTTCCAAGACTGTTCATCTCTATAGGAATAGAAAGTTCGTGTTTCTCCAGCAGAGTGTCTGCTGGTCTAAAACTGCTGACCTTGTGGTTAACAACCCAGTGCGTAGCCCATGTCTTCACAGATGGGCATTTTGAATGTTTCCATGTTTTTGCTATTGTGCATAGTGCTGCCATAAACTAGGGTATGGGTATATCTGTTCACGTTTTGTTCTTTTTTCTTTTGGGGTATATGCCAAGTAGAGAGATTGCTGGGCTGTGTGATATTTCTAATTGCATTTGTTTAAGGAAGGGCCTTCCTGCTTTCTGTAGTGATTATACAGTTCTGCACTCCCAGCAGCTGTGTATGAGGGACCCATGCTCTCCAAATCCTCTCCTGCATTGTCTGTTTTGTTTAGAATTTTGCTATCAATGCTGGTGGCATGGTAATATCTCAACTTTACTTTAATTTGCATTTCTCTTATAGCTAGTGATTGTGAGCGTTTCTCCATATGAATGTTGGCTGTATGGACATCACCTTTGATGAATTGTCCATGTACATAAAGCTTCAGACAGAAAGATTTTAATGTAACTCATCTCTTCCACTGTCATCCTGTTTTATTGTATTTGTGATATACTGACCAATTCATATGAACATATAACCAGTTAAAATAGTTATTATTTGTATATATTTTTTCTTTAATAGGAAATTTCACATCTAATAATGCAAATGAACCTACAGAGATAATATGGAGTTCCAGTGGAAGTGATCAGTCACATGAAGAAAAGCCAATTTCTAATTCACCAAATGATAACAGACAGTATTCTAGAATAGACAGGTTTTGCAACAGAAGAAGTTTGTGTCTAGAAGATGGAGCCAGTGAAGGTAAATTGATAAATTCATGGGGCACCCAGTTTCTGTTGTATGTTGAGTTCAAGGTTGGGAAAACTATTCATGTTTTAAGGCATTGTTATTTTACTGTACCCTAGCCTCTATACTAAGTGCTCTGGATATATTTTTCTCACATAGTATTAGTTTTTAAATGTTTTATTTCTGCTAGATTAAAAACCTGTGTCCTTGGACCACATGTTTGGACCTGGTGGGAAGAAGACTGAACTGAAAATGTCAAATTATTTTTCTCTTAAGAATTGTTTCTTCCATTTTTCTCCTTTTTGATAATTTCTTAACTTACTGGAAAACTCAGTAGTTTTATCTATGAAATCTTGGTCATCTAATAGTCTTCCCTGCTTCATAAAATTATTGTGACCAAATGAAAGCCCCTTTGTGGTAATTCATTTTATAACACTCATCACATTGCCGTAAAAGTGCTTATATATTTGTGGGCTTCCCATGATAGGAACGAGCATTCTCTCCTTGGCTTATTTTGTATCTTCAGTGTCTAAAATGGTGTGACAGACCGCACAAAGATACTTATTTTATCGAATGAATGAATGAGTGATACACAAATGTGCAGTATGGCAGCAGAATGTTTATTTGAATAATTACTATTAGTTCTTCAAAGATAGCAGGTTAGAATTAATATATTTTATGATTTATAATAAAATTTATTTTGGTAAATAAATTTAATAAGCATTTATAATATTCAATAAATGTGTTTTCGTAAACAAATATGATATTTTATTCTGTATGTATTATGTATTATTTATGTGAATGAAAATTATGTCGTTTTATGAGTTGAGATTTTCAAAAGAGGCATCTAAATAATAATGCTTGTTTTATGAACTGTATACTAAATTGAACTGATTCTGTATAATGTAGTCTATAGACAAACATTTGAATGAAAATGCTTAAAAAATTCTAATAGATGACTGTGAAGTAAACTGGCTTAATTAACAGTAGAGTACTAGGGTGTAAAGTAGAATGGCAAGCCTTGTTTACCAATGATGAAAATTTTCTCATTGATGTATGAAAAGAAAAACCAAGGTGTAAAAGAAAAAAGTATTAATATATTATTTCACGAACATGCTAGAAAACTCTGGAAGGATGTATATACAATCAATGAAATTAGATGAATTTGAGATGGACATAAGAATGGAGCAATAGAATAGAGATAAGCGTAGAGATGTATGATTACTTTTACTATACACCTTTTAATATATTTGTTAACATCATTAAGTGACATAGACATAAATCCTCAAATTATGAAAATATTGAAAGTAAAAATTAAAGTAACAACAAAGCTAACTGCAAGATAAAAATCCTATTTTTCAGATGAACTACAATTTATTGACTGGGAAATAGATAGTGACAGGGATGATGCTAATGGAAGTGATGAATTTAAAGAAGGTGAGAGTACTGTGGAGATATCAGACTGTGCTTCTGGTGCAAGTTCTTGCTCCTTGACAAGGGAAGAGAGGCTGTCTGAGCTTCCCCAGGTAAGAATTAATGATTCAAACATTGTTGTTGTTTTTTTAATGTTGTTGCTAATCAAACCTTTTAGTGTTTTGTTTTGTTTTCCCCCTTCTCTTCCTTCAGGGACAACCATTTTGGGTCCTTTTAGAGAGTCCTTTTGCCCTTTGCCTCTTTCTCTCTAAACAGCATGCTTGTTTCGTATTTTCAAATGTAAATAAATATTTTAGATCTCTTCATACCTCATTACACACTAAATCTTTCCTTTTCTTCCATCCTATCATGCTGGAATATCATGATTTGCCTGGATTAGTAGTTAGAATTTATGTAGTTATGAATAATAAAATTGATAACCAAGGTAAATATTAACTAACCATGGTTCTTTTTCATGAGCACACAACTTTTGCCCCTTTTGGTAATAATTCTTTTATTTTTTGGTTGTTTAGTTTTACTATCAGTAATAAATTATACTTTTCCACCAAGACTATCTCTCTCATTAAGATTTTTAGACATCTAGACACCTCTATCAGTTTTATTTTCTTGAAGATCTCTTGCCACAGCCTGCTAGCCAACTTTAATTTGAACTGATGTACTACTACTGCTTGCTGTACATTGCTGTCTTAGAGCTGTCTACCTTTACTGTAATTCTGGGATTTCCTCTCTCTCTCCTGCCTCCTTACCTCCTCATTGTATCACCTCCATACAGGTACCTTGGCTTCCTCTGTATTGGTTATTGCCCTCATTTTTGTCCATTGTATCAGTAACATCTCAACAAAGGTAGTCTAGTGGTTTTGACTTGGGCTGTGATCTTCATGGTTAGCACTGTGAAACCACTAACTGCTCCATGGGAGCATGACGGGGACTTTCTACTCCCATAATCGGTTGCCGTCTGGGAAACCCAAATCGCTGAGTTGGCATCAACTTGATGGCAGTGAATTTGATTTTGGCCAATTTAACATTGGCAAGGACTGGATAGAAAAGAGTTGCTGCTGGTTCAACTGGAAATTCATGCAGCTATGTTACAATGTAATTTGGTTATCTCTCGAAAACTGAAGATGTTTTTTACTTTTTAAATTCAAGATTCTGCTCTTAGATAAATACTCTTGATATTTTCAGAGGTAGGTTATAACCTATTGGTGAGTTCAGTAATTGATTCTGTGGCTTTAAAATATACAGTGGGATAAAACAAGTTGATAGAATGCATGGCAGTTTGTTTGTCACCATTCATTGTAGACTGTGTTTCTTTGCCTGGTATCTGGATTTTCTCAGCAGCAGGGCCTGGGTCCCCTCTTGGTAAGGAAGTGGGGAAGTGATCCCGGTACAGTTAACAGACAGATGACATCATCATCATTCTAGTTAACCGTGTGGTCACTTGGAACTTAGCACTCGGGAAACTCTGATAGGCACAGAATTATACTCCAGGACCTGCAAGGAAACTAGAGTATGTTTAGATCCCAATTCTTCTTTGAATGCTCGAGGGCAGCTTGTTGGTAGGGTTTGGAGCAAGACTGTTTCCCAAGTCTGGAAAAAAAATGGGTTCAAGCAACCAGAGGCAATGCCATACGGTGCTGGAAATTGGGAATTGAGCCATCCTCACTGATTTTGTATTGTTTTAAAACTTGCTGCCATTGAGTCAATTAGTTCTCCAAAATTAGAACTTTTCTTTAGTGCGTGAGACATTTATTATATTTTGCTTCATGTGCGTGTTTTTAGAAATGGAATATATTTATATATATGGTTGGAAACTTATTATGCAGTTGAATTGCACTTTAATTCAGTGGGTAGTATTAATTGTAATTCAGGTTTATTTCAAGTCCATTGCCCAAGGTGGAATGTTATTGATTGAGAAGACAGTCTGGCCTATAAACAGGGTTTCCTTCAGTTCTGTGCTTATACCTCATGATGGTAGCAGTAGCTAACATGAGTGCTTCTTTATGGTTGGGTACTAGTCTAATTACTTTACATTCATTTGGTAATTTAAATCTTACAATAACTATACAAAGGAGGAACTATTATTACCATTCCTGTTTTCCAGAGGAGAGCTCTGAGACCCAGAGAGTTTGACAACTTTCTCCAAGATTATACAGTAGTAAGTGCCTGGGCTTGGTATTCTCCCTGAGGGTCTCTGGCTACTAGCCACTTGGCTATGATTTCATAGTAGTAATAGAAATGACAGCATTGGTCACAACACAGTAACCCAGAAGACTTACTATGTATTAGGCACTTTGCTAAGTGCATATTATTTTATGCACATTGCTAACGGCCATCAAGTTAATTCTGACTCATTGTGACCCAAAGGCCAGAGTCGATCAGCCCCTTAGGGTTTCCGTGACTGTAAGTTTTTATGGGCGCACATAGCCTCGTTTTGCTCCCATGGAATGATTGATGGTTTGGGACTGCCAGTCTTAGGCTTAACGGCCCGTTGTTTAACTCACATTCCACTGGGGCTGCTGAGATTGTGTGAGCTGGATACTATTAATTCCATAAAATGTGAGCGCAACTTTTAAAAAATGGCACATTGAGAATCCAGTTCACATAGTCTGCTCCTAGATGATCTTAACTGCTATGCTGTGTTGACGTGGAGTATAACATAACTGTAAAACATGGAGGACAGAACCACAGCCCTGTCTTTGAAACATTTGGCAAATGCGTTGTGACTGGTGGATTTTCCATCATGTCCAGCAGGCAACAGCACTTCAATATTGCCCTGCCCTCTGGGTTTCTTCAGTTAGTCTAGCACCATCTTCAAAAAGGCATTCCTGTAGAGGGCAGCAGAGACAAAGCAATGTAGCTGTGTTTTCAGGTGGAACTATGAAGTAAATCTGATTTAGGTGATCCTTATTATGTAATTCTCTTGTATCTTATGTAGTGACACCTATAGAAATACTAATAAGCAGTAGATATAGTATCAGGTAACCTGAGTGAGGTTCTTTGGAAAGTGAGCAACAGAATAGCTAAAAGGTCTGAAAACAGTTCAGGCAGTGTTCAAGAACGCAAGAAACTTTGATTGACGGACGAACTTGAAGTGTAGACTTACTGTTTTGATAGATGCTTTATTTGTGCCTTTGTTACCCGTAGGGACTTCATCCAAGAGACTAATAACGCATAGAAGATATGAACGCCTAGACGCATTTGGACAGTATAGGCACAGACACCCATTTGCGTCCTTACTTGGAGACACAAAGTAACCTCGTGAAATTGTAAAGTGTCTGTGAATGTAATGAGCATATTTGCGATTCTGTGTCCTGTACTTATTTCCATTAACTTCTATTTCTATACGTTTATGAAAACATTGCCTATCTCATTTTTAATCTGATTTTAAGGTGACTGAGACTAGAATGAGGTGACTAAGCATGTATTAATGGTTAATATCTAAGAATTGTTCATTATATTCATCTTATAAAGAGATAAAGGAATTTAATTATGACCACAAAAACAAATGCATCTTAGAAACCCTCTTTCACATGTAATTATTTTATATTAAAAAGGAAAATTTGGAATTAAAAAAAATTAGATGATTATGTGAAGGGGCTTCAAAAAGTTCATAGAAAAAAGATAGAATTAAAAGATAATAAGATTTTTCCATGAAATTTTTTTTGCTTGTTTCAGAAATTTTAATACTCGAAAAATATGGAGAGCTTCATGAATTTGCGTGTCATCCTTGCGCAGGGGCCATGCCAATCTTTGCTGTATCGTTCCAATTTTAGTATATGTGCCGCTGAAGGGAGCACTCCATGGTTTTTTTAAGACCTTTTATATTTCAATGATTTTGTTATGGAAACACTACATTTAAAAAAATTCATGTCTAAATGTGTTCTCCTGGCCAAAAAAAAGAGACAGGAATGTTATATTTAAGGGCTGCTTATTTTTGAGTTGTTTATATTATAATTAATGTACCATATGATCTAGCTCTTCATGATCTCATAAGAACTTTTTTTTTGCTTTTATTCTCTTTATAAAAGTGGATAGCTCTGCATAATAATGATCATTTGTAGCATCTATGACAAAAATTCTATCCTTATCTCTAATCTCCCTTTGTACTTGACTGAACATTAGTTTATGAGATAGTATGACGGGGACTCTGTCGATTTGTCTTTTACTCTGATTCTTTTTCCCCACTCCTTCTTGGGTTTCCCTTGTTCCTTTCTTTCTTCCTTTAATTTACCCATTAGTTATGTTTTCTGATGTGCTTTGAGAACTACAAAATAGAAGTACTGCAGTAGGATATATTAAAGAGTCTTAGTGGCAAAGTGGGTTAAGTGTTGGACTATTAACTGAAAAGTTGGCAGTTTGAACCCACCAGCTGCTCTGGGAGAAAGATGAGGCAGTGTGTTTCTGTAAAAATGTACAGCCTTCATAACCCTACAGAGCAGTTCTACTCTGTTCTATCAGGGCTAATTACTATGAGTTGGAATTGATATCATGACAGTGGGTTTAGGGTAGGATATAGAAGATGACTTCAAAATGTTCATGGAAAATGGAATTAAAAGAAAATGGATTTTTTACACAAACCCTGTGGAGCCTCTTTGTATTGTTGCAATGATACCATGTCAAAAATGATGTAAGTGGCATAGGGTGATTTTTTTTTTTTATAGTCTTCTTGTGGTCTAATTTTAGAAATAATCTTTAGAAGTTTCACTTCCAGTAATGACCAAGTAGCTATGTCAAACCAACTTTCCATCAAAAACCAATTACAATTTATGTATAAAGAATCAAAAACATTAATGTGGTGCCATATGACTGACTTATTTTGAGTTTATTGTAACTGCTCAAGGAAATAAAGAAAAAGAATATATATATAATGAATGAGCAGACAGGTAATAACAGCAGAAAAATAAACACTAGGAAAAAGAACCAAGTTGTTTAGTCAGTGAACTAGACTGAGCATCAGAAGGACTGAATCTGAGGGAAAAAAATTATTAAAAATTTAATTGATCTCAGTGACTGGTAGGATACAATCAAAACTCCTACCATATGTATTGAAAGAGTCTGGTGGTTTTAGTTATATGTTGGACTGCTAACCTCA